GGTAGGTAATAACTGTAGAAAGTGATTTATTAATTCAAAATCGAATTTTATGTCTCCTTGTATAGTTAATACAGATAAATATTTGCTTCTCGGTATTGTGAATGGACAAGACGGAACGCGCACATTCCATATAAGGTCCCAATGTAAAGACGTCCAAAATGTTCAACAAATATTATGAAGTCCTCATTGAAGGGCATTAAGAAGATGAATAATTGGAAATTCGTAAAAATTTATGGCTCAACGTTTTCATTATACGGTCTCGGATATCTTCTATAAGGCGTCAGATAATTGATTGTTATGAAATATTCTTGCAAACGAGTACACTATACAATTTTTTTAGAAAATTTGAATCGAACTTTTGTTTCCCTATTTAATTTACAATAATTTAACGTTATAAAACATAATAATTTTTATGTAAATTTCCATTCAGTTACTGTCTTGCGTCCAACCATTAGTATGTTAATCTATACTATATTAAAGTTTACATTTCAGATTAATTCTCTCTTATATGGTTGGTATCAATTGATATAGCTGGTGGTATTGTTAAAAATTTTGTTTCAAAAAGTGATTAGTACTTATGCTATAAAAAAGTTTTAGCAACAATTTTAAAATTGGAACCTCGAGTGTTTCTGCTATGCAATTTGAAAATACCATATACCATTAATTAAGTGAAGAAAAACTTTTTAATTCTAAGTGATTTTTCATTTCGCCTTAAATTTTCAACATTCAACTTATTTATAAAAATTTTCTATAACAAAGTATAAGTAACTAGAAAAACATATACGGGGTGGTGCCGTATATTTATACTACATTAACAATTAAAGTTGCATAAAGTATAATTATATAGAAGCACAGTAGATATATATATACATGCATGCATGTCCTTAATACTGAATTATCCCTGAAATATTTTAGTTTAAATCTAGTTGAAAGAATAGAAAAATAAAAGTTATTGAATTGTATAGCAAAAATAACTTTTTTTTTATTTTCTTTAGAATCTGTTACGTCCAGTAGCAGCTAGTGGTTTTGTATTTTGAATAGAATAACAATGTCAGTTTGTGGTAATGTTTCTGTATACCTTATTGTACAACACTATTGTTATATATTTTTACATTTTGGAAAAAGGAAAAAGAAAGTTGTAAAATTTCAAGTTTTTCGATTATATTTTTTACATACTTTCTTATTGTTGTAGTACCACTATTGTTAAAGTATTTTAATTTGAATTAAAAAATTTTCAATTAAAGCTTTACGATAAGGTTTTTTTAATAGTTAATAAAAATTTTAATTTCCCATTACTAATTTAAGTTAATGAAAGATTACTCTAGATTATTACCCTAGATTTCTCTAGATTACTAGTTTACAACAGATTTCAGAAGCTTAGGTAGTTTACCCTTCCTAGTTTAACTTCCTAGGTATAGAGTTTGGTATTTGAATAAAATATGAATAGTTTTGTAAAGTAAAATAATGTTGATTTTAAGATTTTGTGAAATGTTCTCGTAAAATTATTAATTCAAAATAATTGTTGACTTTAAGTGTAGGGTTCTTTTAATTACAAGCTAACCCGTTAAGCATTGGAGCAATTTTAGAAGAAAGAAAGTTAATTTATTTGTTCGATTTCGAAATGATATAGTTTTTTTCTGTTGGGTACGTATACGAATAAAGCAGAAGGTCCAACGCGGGAACTTGCCAAACATTGAGTTTCCACATTTAGTCCAGACACTTGTAACGATTCTTTTTGCAAAAGCAAAAGCAATCCTCAGCCGAAAATAAGTCAGTTCCTTAGAACTATATTTAATAAGATTTTTTTTATCTCTGTTTCGGAACAAGAGACCTTACAGGTCTCTCTCAGATTTCCAAAAATTTTTCGGGAACAAAGTTGTAGATTCCATCGAGACCAATGCTCACAATATACAGCGTATGCTCACATTTCTCGACTTTAAATTTTAATGAAACACAATTTTGGAAACGATAGCTTTTTCAAACAGTGTTTTTTTAGAAATCGTAGCTGCAGTTTTGTAAGCAAGTTCCCAATCTTTCATGGTGATCATTTTATAATATAGTAGTACATAAAAGACACAGAAAGATACTCGTCCATTCATTTTCATCAGTATTTATTAAACCAGTTAATAAATAAAAGCTAAAACTGGGAATAAAAACAATTAAAGTACACTTGAAACAATATTTATAATTTCAATATAAATATTAAAACAAATGAAAAAACTGCGAAAGATAGTAGCGATAAATTTTAATGAAGGGCGAATTTTCTTATTAAATTAGAAATCTTAAGATTTACCAATAACTCTTAAAGTTTCCCCATGCGGTAATGATATTGAGAATGTGTAATAATATTGTTTGTATATATATAAAAATAATACAAATAAACAATTATACAATGCTGAAGTACCACAACTAATTTTATTAAACTGTGCCTGAGTTTATGCAATCTCATGAAATACATAAAATCATATAGAAATGGTTTCTTTATATTCTTATACGATTACTTTATATTTTTATATTATTGTCATATATAGTATGTTCCGCAAAATGTGGCAAATAATTCCTAGTGATTGAAATGTATGAAATATGAGTCTCTCGCATGTTTTTTAAATACATTTAACGCGTTTTACTGGCAAAACTATGAGGGATAGAGCAAAACGTAATATGTAAATTCACTTTTAGAATTTTCAAGAAATTTCGATTTTTTTTTAAATTCAAACAAACGAAAAACAAAAATTCTTATTTTGACAAGCTAAATCTCGAAAACTATGGCAGAAAAATCAAATTGATTATCAGATCGAAAATAAAAAGCAATCAATCGTCTATAAAAACAGTATCCAATAGTTACTTTATATGTGATGCTTCCAAAGTTACATGCATTTATTAATATGCAACAAAAATCTGGTACTCTTTTTTTCAAACTGTAGCTCAAAAACGAGTATGTATATGTATCTGCACTCCCTCCTACTCGTCCTATTTTTTGATAGAAATTGATCAAAGAATCAGCCCAGAAAATATTTGTCGCCTGGCTTAAGAAAAAACTCAGCTTAATTTGGCATTTTGGTAAAACGGTTTCGGGAAATTTATTTGGAAGTGCACATATTACACAAATGATTTCATGTACTCATTTAATATTTGAAATCATTCATTCAAACATAGTCTAACTGTATTATATGGGAAAAAGCATTGTCATAATCAAATGATTATTGTTTTTTAATTACGTTTTTAAATTTCAAATGTAGTAAATTCAATTTCAAAATATTTTCTGTTTCATATTTTTAATTTACCCTTATATTTTTTTATACATATATTGCAAATAAACAAATTATATTTATCTACACTTTACGTATATTTGCTTCACAATTTATTTACACACAATTTCTTGCCATAGATACAAAACCGAAAATGTAAACAAAGTAATTGCAAATTCAACATAGAATTTACACCATTATAATAATTTTTAAAATTCACCACCAAAATGAAAAAAAAAGAAGTGAAAATTCTATGTTTTTGGTTGAAAATTTGTTTAAACAATATGACAGCAGCTGTTCAGCCGGTTTTTTTCTTTTCATTACTTTTTTGATTATTTTCATTATTATTATTTTCTTTACGTTTATTGCACTTTAAATTATGGTGAATAATTACAGTGAAAATAGAACAAAAATAAATGATTTTTCTTTGCGCATACATATTTACATATTTCTGCAAAAACCTGTTTTTTGTATGTACATATGACATACAAGTGACATATTTATTTGTATTATATTATGGATTCATTTGTATTTGTATACTTTTAGGCTCAAATAAAAAAAAACATGTAAATTGTTTAAGTATGTAAGTACATATGTATATCAAAACGTACAGGTGTTAAAATTTTCAAAACACGTTGGATTTGTTTTTTTTTCTTTATTTCTTACTTATATTTACATTTTCAATATGGCTGTGTTTGTTCATTCGTATACATGTGTATGTATTATGTATGTGTTTACTAAATATTAATAATATGAAATGGTTTTGTTTGATATGTGCAAATGTGTATTTAGTCATGACTTATTAGTATCACAGGCGTGGAAGATGCGAGAAAATAATTAATTGGCGCTTAAATAAAAAGTGACTACTTCAAAATTGATTTTTAAATTTTTGAGAAATAAAAGGGTTAAAAATTTTTTAATTTTAACAAGAAAGTTTTTAAAAAAATTAACTGTCATGTGCGCAGTTTTAGATTTTATAAAGAAAATAAGTTCAATTTTATAATAAATAAGCGATTGATGTTCTTACTTTTAAATTTGCAAAAATTTCATATAAAACTTAAATTTGCAAAACTCAAAATATCATTCACTCGTCATTACCACTATTATATTTTTCGCTCTCATAATGTCATGAACCGGATTATTGTTTATGAGGGGGACAAGTGTACAAAAAAACCATTTTTATCAAAGTATGCACTTCAAAAGTCTCATGAACTCGTGTTTAATTTTTCTCATTCCCTTCATCTCTTTTTTTATAATTATCTTTCACTCTTTTTTGCTTCTTTTAAAGAATTTTATATGATTAGATTTGTATTATTTCAAAAAATTAACGGTAATCAAGAAAAACAGGTTTTCCGTCTGTATACTTTACAGAAAAACACACACATATACAGTACATAATATACCCACACAATATTACAGTTTTCTCTTTTTATACAAATGCAAACTGATATACACACATTTCTGATTAAACGAATACATGTGTAAATTTAAATGGATGTGTTTATTATTACATATGTTTTTATTATTTATGTGTTTAGTAGTTTATGTATTACTATTTAAATTTCATATTTGTGTTAGTCTCGATGTCAGTGTGTTTGGTTTATCTATATGAATTCATTTATTGTTCTACGTTTCTATTTTTTATTGTTTTTATTTTTTAAGTTTATTCTTTTTATTCATTTTATTTCTTAAATCGTATGGGAAACTGAATATTTTTGAATCAGTTCACGTTGAAACATTGAAATAGGTCTGACGTGTTTATTTTGAGGCGCAAATTATCAAAAATTTTATTTATTTAATATTTTGATTTTACGAAGATTTTGAATAAAAAATCAAATGGGTGAAAAGTCGAAATTATCTTAAATGTTGGAATTATAAAGAAATTTTTTTTTTTGACATAACCTATAATTATAATTGTTGTTGTTTTTTTTTTGTTTATCTTAATATTAATATATGATGTGTAAACTATGATAGTTGATATTTAAAATAATTTATACATAAGTACGTTACATATACTTGAATTTTTCTATAGAGAATTCAAAAACAAAAAAAAAAAGTAATAGAAATTGTCTTTAAAAAATTTATGAATGATAAGAAGACCGTTTTCTCTCATTTCCATTCAAATACCTATAGTAATTTATGAGGACGTACCACGTTTTAAAAATCATTTATAAAGTTTTGATATTACATAAAAATACAGCAAAAGAGCCTCTTCAACTCTTAAAATTCAATTCAAATAATATTATATATTAAAGTACATATAGATATTTCTCACATAAGTATATATACATATAATTTGTAGACACGAAATTTATAGGTACGAAAGCCAGAAGCAAAAAAAAAAAAAATACCCAAAATCATAAAAAAAAAACAAAAAATCGATTAGATTCTTTTTAAAAGCCGGTTCGTGATTTTCAAATGAATTCAAAATAAAAAATAATAAATTGGAAGTTTAAATATTGAAAAAATTAATAAATATAACGTGTATAAGTTTAGAAAATATTCTATAAATAAAAAAAAAGTGTTAATTATTTATTATAAATAAGAAAATATTGTTACAAATACCAGTTATAATTAGCATTAAAAAAAAAGTGTAAAAAAATCAAAAAAAAAAAATAGTGTGTGTTTCTCTAAAATTTTTGTGCTTTTATTATTAAAATATAGGTGGCATAAGCTCTACAGTGGGCAAAAGAATATAGTGTTATATTTGAATTTAATTTGAAATTTTTCAATTTCCAATATTCAAATTTAAATATTTTAATAAAAGAGAAAAAAAATAAATTGAATTTTTTTATGTGGAATCATTAAATCCTACCTAGTAACTGTATCAGGTAACTATACAAATTTGTATACCTTTATTAAGTATACATGTATATATATATATATATATACATATAAAATATGAGAATTACAACAATAAATACAAATAGGAAATTAAAAATAAATATAAAATTTAATTCAGATGTTTCTGCGCTTACATTTTTGTTTATTTTATTTATAAAAAATTCAAAATTAAAAATAAAAATTTCCTCTTTTTATTTATAGAAAAATATTTATAAATAAATTATATTTACAAAAGAAATTGAAATAAAAAATAATATTTTCATTGTTAATAAATTTTTTATGTTAATATTCTTGTTGGAAATTTCATATTTAATTTAATTAAATAAGTAAATAAAATACACTTATAAAAATAAAAAAAAAATCGAAATTTTCTTTTTTACATTTTCAATTTATTTATTTACAAAATTTAATAATTTTTTTTTTGAATTAATAATTTAATTAGAATACTATTGAAATTTTTTTTTTAGTTTTCTTTTTAAATTAAATATTGACAAATAATGTAGATATAAATATGGTGGGGTATTTTAGAATATACCTGTACCTGTCATGCTTTTTAAATAAATATTTAAAATAATTAATTTTAACTTAATTATTAAGTTTGATAATGAAATTGTCATTGAATTTCAAGTGTACAAATATTTTTTAATTTTTATACTTTATAAATAAAATATAAAAATTTTGAAAAAATATTTAAAGAAAGTATATTAAATAGTTAGCTATATTAAAAAAAATTGCTCCATTATTTCCATTAAAAATGTAAATAGCTGTAAAAGCAAAACTATTTTTAATAAAAACAAGTTAGTTAGCATAGGGGAAAGAAGTACCAACATATTCCTTCCTGTTTTAAGGAATATATTCCAAATTCCAATATTGACAAATAGACACCTTTGCGAGATCTTTCAAAGAGTCACATTGATATTCCGGCAAATCATTCACTTTACCAACATTGTGATAATCTGAAAAACAAATTATCTAACTATTCTTGTCTATTGGCCATTTTGAAATGCAATGTCGAGATTTTTTTTACTTCTTTTGGTCTTATCAGAATCTGCGTCCTTGTTCCGCTCCTCAATCTCTGTGCTTTGGGCTTTTCTAATTAAAACATTTTATAGTCGAAATGTGATAGGGAGACAAATCAAAATTAATGGTTAGTCGTTTCCGACTAGTTTTATAATTTATTTTGAGGAGAGTATTTTTTATTGGATTAAAGTTCCACAGTACTGCTTTTCGTCTGGCAGTGTCTTTCGAGATTTTTCACCCTTCCTCCCGGAGGAAAAAAACTATATGATAAGTGAATATGTGAAGCATGTTAAATTGGGAATGCAGTAATTATTAAATTATTTTCAATGAATTTATATTTGTTTTCTCTGATAGGAGTTAATTATTCGAAAAACTATAAACCTATTGATCTATAATTTTTACTTGTATGCGAATACTTACTTTGCAAAATTATTAAATCAATGATTCATGTAAATATAAGTACAATAAACAATCAATAAATGGAAATCTCTTAGGTTTGAGTTGTTATTATCAACAAAAATTTTTTTCAAATAGCAAATATTTTGGTACCAGTGATAGGCAACTATAGGACAGAGTAAATAAATAAGTGAATAAACAATTTTTTTGGTATATAAGTACACCATTAGAAAATATTGTTTTATAATATTAAAAGTTTCAAAAATTTTATTATCGCTTGATTTCTTCTATTCTTGCTTAAAATTGTCTTCCAAGTCATTTCCTTTATTAAGGCAATTCTTTAATTTTCTAAACTTATCAAGTTATTGCATACATTTAGGATAAAAAAAAATTATTGAAGGAGACATCGTTGCGTTAACATAAAGATCGAATTCCACGGTTAGCGAGTTAAAAAAAAATATATATTTTTTTGTTAGTAAGACTTTAATTTTGTTAGATATTTGCTTCTAAAGAAATGAGCAAAAACCACTTAACCATTTTTCTTAACCGAAAAGCAGTTTCGGAAATATTTTTTTTCCTTTTTTCATTCTTAGGAGGAGCATAGCGCTAGTACATGATATTATAGATAGTCATGCCCCAGTTTCATTGTGTCATACAGTTTTTAACGAGGTAGGTGACTAGCCTGCCGTAGTTTTTTCTTTATATTAAATATTTAAGCTTATTAGCACTTCTTTGTTATTTCATAAGTATTGTATATTGAAGCTATAATATTGAATATAATTATTATTGTAACCTGACCGGGTAGTTTCATCAGGTAGTTTCGGAAATATAATCCACCAAAATTGAAATTTTACCAATTTCGAGAGGTGATGAGACGGAATACACCTAAACAAAATTTCTTTTAACGAAATGAAATATTTTTTAGGGTCTCGGTTTATATTTGTTAAGAGGGCAAGAATATCATTGTCGTATTATAGTTGATTCGCAAGCTTTAAGTTGTTAACAATTTATGTCAATTTGTTGCTTAGTATTTTGTGTAAAAATCTATAAAAATTGTACACGCTTTTGACATAATATATAACAGACCGTATACAATGGTCTACTCGTATATTACCGACCGTATTGTGTAAACAATAGGTAGGTTATGTGATGGCAACAAATTTTGCATATCGAGTTTTTGGTGGGAACGTACTTCTCCATAGTAGGGAAGTGTAAATAAACTATTTTTAGCAACCTGTCGGTCTGTCGATCTGTGGGTGCACGCGTGTATCTCAAGTTCTGCTGAACCGATTTTGATGAAATTTTATATGTAAGTTTATTTCTACCATGGCACGGATTGATCAACTTTTGGTATATATCAGGCCTCGGGAACTGCATTTTTTTAGCGGGCCTGTTTAACATTTTTGAACATTTTGAAGAAAATATTCAACCGATTTACTTGAAATTTTATATATAAGCTCAGCTCAACCGTCTGCGTAAATTCCTATGTTTTGGAAGAAATCAGCATCGGCAACTAGACGTTTACTATGGGCCAAATATACATTTTTGTGTATATAAAGAGAAATAATCAACCGATTTCATTGAAATTTAATATTTGAATTCCTCGTATTAAAACAATGAACATATACATTTTTTGGAAAGATCAGGGCTCAAAAACTGATTTGCGGGCCGATTTTACATTTTTTTCATTTCTGGTTGTTCGGGAATTAGGGTAGCACAAAGCGAAACTCTACTAAGAGCCAAATTTACATTTCTCTAGGAATGTTAACTATAAGCTTACTAATGTCCTAAAAATTGGGAAGAAGTATTTAACAGACATTTTTATAATATTCTGTACCACTTTCATTTAAATATACAATACACAATGCGGTCAGTTATGTGATGATCACATCAGATTTTTTTTTTATTTTGTTGACAACTATTTTTTTAAACAACATATTTGACACGCGTACAATACAACATTTTCTTTTTCCATAAAACTTCAGTTGTAATATTTTTATTGGCGTAATTCTATCATTTTTGTCTTAGTTTAATTGTCCAAAAGTATATTTAAGTAACAAAAAATAAATAAATTTAAATGTTTATAATTTTTTTCTTAATTTTTTTTTATTTCTAATTTTTTCTTATTTATTCTTATAATATAACAATATTGCCAGTCATATATTTTTTATTGTAAAATAAAAATTTAAACTGAAAAGTAATTAAAAGCATAACGCTTGTCATACCAAGTTGTAAAACTATACTTATATCTAAATGCACAACATAATTATAAAATTATAAATCATTTAACTTTTATTAGCAATGATTTTTATTAAAAATTAAAAAAAAAATATTTACATAGATTAAGATTTTCAACAACAAAAAAAAATTTGATTATTACTTTTATAATATGTGGGATATAAAATGTAGACAAACAAACAATTGTAAACATCTTAAGTACTTAGACATTTTAAAAGCTATCTTGGTTTTGTATAGAATTAGGCGTTAAATATTGTAATACCGCATGGTCATCACAATTTCTTTAGTGAAAAATCTTCAAATTCAATCTATTTCATTAGAATAAATTAACAATTTAGATGAAGTCGTAATAAATTGAGATTCATGACAAATCGTTCATCGTATAGAATCTAGACTAAAATTTATTTTTATAAGTCATAGTATGTTTAATTTCTATGATTTTTTCCAAAAATGCAATTTAAAGTTATTAATAATGCCTGGTTTTTCAATAATTTAAGTTTATTTTTCATATAGAAATTGTTCAAGAGTTGAATGAAGAAAATTTATGCTTGATATTTTTTTTATAGCAATAAGTAAACAACTTTTCGAAAATAATTTAAAATGATTATAAATTTCAAGTTCATTGTAAACTATAGAGATATTAAATATGTTGTTTTTTTATAATTACATTTTTATCAATGTTGTGTAACCATACTTTATTTATAAATGCATCTACTCATATATATATATATATATATATAATATACGAATCACCTTATTGACGATAGAAAAAAATTAATTTAATGAATTAATGAATTTTTTTTTTGATTAATTATGTTTGGAATGACTTTGCCGAATAATAATAAGGTTGTTAAAGAAAAATGTGAAAAAGATTTGATAGTTCAATTAAATGAATTTACCTGTATTTAATAATATTTATTAGTTATAATTTAACATGTTTGTATTCTTGTAAATTTGGGAATATTTATGTCGTTGAAGCGGTTTTGCTTTTCAGGTTTTATATATAGAAAATGTTGCGAGTTCCAGATACAATGATTGTGCCAATAATTTTAAATTTAAATTTTGCGTTGTTCTATAAATTGCAATTTATGTGATAGAATGAAAAAGGTTCGGATGTAAATCGTTGTTTGTTTAATATGCATTTGAAATATTAAGTATGCATAGTTGATATTGAGCCCACTAAAGAGTCTATAGGCTAATTTTTACCGGAATTTGGTAAAATTCATAAAGGTAGGTGTTGTGATCACACCAAATTTGTCATGGTCAGATGTTGACGAAAGCTTATTTCTTCTATAAAAAAGGTAATTTTTCCCAAAATGTCTCCTATTTGTGC